GCTCCTCACGCCCCGGTTCCAATTTTCAGACCGCTTCTCGGTGGGTCGGTGCTGGGGAGCACGGTGGGAACAGCCGGCGGGCCCTCGGAGCGGAGCATGGTCTCCCTCTTCGGCTAAGTCTGGAGGAAACCGAACCAACCCACCCATCAACCCAAACTCCGGGAGCTGCCGCGTGGGGGCGCTCGCGCGCAGACCCGGCCGCCGGCAGGACGGGGACGCACAGCGACTCCACTGTTCTGCCGGGGGGGGGGGGGGCAGCCCCGCGGCGGGCCGGCTTCGGCGGCTTCCTGAACCCGCCCCACTCCCGGGGGAGAGGACCCCGGGACGGAGCGCGGCGCCCGGTCTGCGCCGTAACCGCGGGAGGGGCCCCAAGGCCACGAGCTGAGCCAGGCGTCGCCCCGGGCCTGGTCCCGACACCCCCCGGGGCAGCTTTGCCACCTTGCCGGGACCTCACAAGGGGTCCCGAGCCCCAGCGTTTGCCCTTTTCGTTTGAACAAGATGTCCCGTGGGGCTGCGGCCCCCAAACCGTTTGCTTTCCAGGGGCCTCCAGGCGGCTGCGTGGGGCGGCTGGGCTGCCGCGGGGACCCCAGCGATCCGTGCGGCTCTGACCCTGGGGGGTCCGGTGACCGTGCCGGCCACGCGGGGCGCGGGCGAGGCCGCGGGGCGTCCCTTTTCTAGATTGCACCCGCTGGCACCGAGCGCGCGGCAGGCTTGCCCGGGGTTCGGAGCGCCGCGGACACCTCTCGGCGAGTTTCCGTGAGCCCAGTCTCCGTCCCGACTTGCCCCGAAGGTTAATCCACAGAGAAAAACACGGAGTGCTGAGATGTGCAAACACCCGCGAGTGCCCACGCCACGCGACCAGCCTGCGCCGGGGCAGGTGGTGAGGCCGCCGCTGGCCCGCTTTCAACGAAACGCGCCACCCAGCCCCACGGGCGGGCCGGGCGAGCGCGCGGCGGGGAGAGCGCGTGCCGGGGCGCGGGGAGCTCAGGACGCCCGCACCCCGCCCGCAGACACCCGAGGACCTAGGCCAGGACGCCCCGGAGCTCCGTGCCCGGGCTGAGTTGCTGCGCCGCGGAGGGCCTGAGACTGGCGGCGCCGCGGCTGGAGTCTTCCCTGGAGGATTTCTGCAATATTTATAGGCTGGAAAAAATAAAGACTAAACACTCCTACCACACACACACACACACACACAGAGGCAGAGTCTCTGTGCACTGAAAACCTCCTCCCTTTTCTCCTCAATTGGATCACAAATGAGGGTTCGGGCCTATAGTTGACAGGAGTGAGCGAGGATCTCTTTCCTCTAGATCATTCCGTTCCTTCTGCGAGGCAAGCCTTCGAGAGACTGCGGCGGCGGTGCCCAACTCCAGACTCAGAGACCTCACACTGTCCTTGCCCATAGTCCCCGTCAATGTTGAGGTCATTGGGCGCATCCACCCACCCACCCACCCCGCTGCCGCCTTCCAGAAAGTCGGGTTCTCCCAGGGGACTTCTAGCGCAGCTTGGAGCGCTAGCAGACACTTCAATGAAGCCCACGTGTCCACAAGGTTGGAAAGATTCTCCCCCCATCGCTATCGCGCTCTCTCTCTCTCTCTCTCTCTCTCTCTCTCTCTCTCAGTATGCACCAGTGAAAACTTCCTGAGTGTGCAAAGATTTTGCAGATTGCTGCGGGGTTAGCCCCAAGGCACCTGGCACCCGCGGGCCTGACAAGCAGCTGCTGGAAGTGTTGGAACTGGTGACTAAGATTGTCTAAGGGTCAAGCTGGCGTCTATCAAATCCCCACCCAGACACCGACACCTCACAAGTGCTGGTCTGGGGCCCGACCGAGAGGGAGGGAGCAGGCTGGGAGGGACTGGGAGCATAAGGAGACCATAGCTGTGTTCTCAACCCTCCAAGGCAGTCAGTCATCCGGCTGTCCCAGCTGCCAAAGGTTCTCGCCCAGACCTGCTAGAAACAGCTTCCTACAAGCATGGGAGGGACATACTAGTGGCATAAGGACACATACTAGTACATCCAGCAACGATGTTACAGGTTTTCTGGGCTTGCTCGGTGATGACTTATCCTACGGTATACACTGAGTCCCCCGAGTAGGAGATTCCTCCTCTGTTTTGCTCCACCTACTGCTGAGTGCTGCCTGGAGGCTCCAGAGCCCCGGAGGAGGTAAAGGTGGCAACCACTCGGAAGGATGAGAAGTGTTGTACTACAGGAAAGGTGAGGCAGATCTGACTAAGCTGAGCCTTAACCCAATCCTGGGGGGTAAGTTCAGTCTGAAGGCTCCTAGGGGACAAGGAGGATACATTCATGGTGAACACAGGGGCTGAAGGTTATAACATAACTTTTCCCAGTTAGTATTCTTAAGCCCACCCCATCTTAGAGCAAGCAGGGACTTGAGAGCTCGTCCATACCTTGTTTAATAGTAGAAAAAAAAATGAAGAAGAGCAGTTGAGAGGTGGGCAGAGTAGGCCACACCACACTGATCAAAGTTCTCCCTTCCCATCCTCTAGCATGATACAGGATGTCTAGAGCCAAAACTCGGACCCGTGTGCCAGTTGAATCCTTTTTAATTGTGTGGCTTCGGCAAGGTGCTGGAAAGAAGAGGTTACCCTTTGTTGGCCGTCAGCAAGCTAGGATCTGAAGATCACAAGTCTGGGGTAAATTCTCTCCTCCCCCACCCATATCTCCCAGGATTCTCATATCTAACATAGGACCAACCCCTGTGTGGCAACACACAGAACTCTGCCTGTGGCAGCCTGGATGCATCTGGGCCCTTCACTACCCACAGATGAAGACTACAAAGCGTTCTGCAGGGAGCTGTCCTCATGAGCTTCGACAGCCCTGTGGCTTCAATGTCAGAAGGTTGGTCCTGAGGAACTAAAGTTTAGGGAAGTTTACAGCAACCCAAAGGACTTTTAGCATGTTGGATCAGTGGGAAATCCTGCTAGACTGTGTGTGTGTGTGTGTGTGTGTGTGTGTTTGTGTGTGTGTGTGCCTTCCAAATAGATATCAAGAAAAGCAAAGGTCCAAATCAACTCTCTGGGCTCCAGTTCCAACGTTCCTACACTAACTCCCTTAAATCTTAAAGGGATGAGAACGAGAAATGTAGCCACAGACTCAGATTCCATAGTCCTTGGCTGCGCAGGGGCAGGCTGCTGGCTGGGGTCCTGGCATTGGGAATGGCACTGGAAGCTCCCTGACTGAAACAGCTGTGCGGGAAGAGCAGAAGCGGAAGTGAAAAAGACAAGTCGGACAAGGAGCTAAGCCGGGACTTTACAAACCATAGCAATCGCTGGAAGACCCCCCCCTACACACACACACACACACACACACACACACACACACACACCGGTTCTCCTATCTCCTCCACTTTTATCCTCCCAGCAAACCAACACCACGTTTCACACGATAACAGGGGGGAAAACAACAACAACAGGACATCCCTTTTTAGACTCTCATTCTGGAACTGAGGGTCGAGGTTCTCCGGCTGAAGCGATCAGGAGTTTGAGCCGTGGCTAGAGGGGAGGTCGGAGGGTGGCAGATCTAGCCTCCATTCCCCTCGGCGCCATCCTAAAACCATCCTAGAACCCCTGCCTTCGACTCCCGTGAGCACTCTGCGAGTCTACGCCGTCCCTCGGTCCTGCATTGCCGCAGCCGCCGGAGTCGACTTCCACTAGAGGCCACTCGGTACTTCAGGGAGCTTCTTGGGCCGTGGGACCCGTGAGGTTAACTCTGAGCCCCCGCCTGGACGAGCCGCGGAGCCCTCGGAGTAGGGGCGGTACCGGCCCGGCCCGGGCGGCCGACCCGCCCGGAGAGACGGGGAAGGCGGGATCCTCCGGGAAGTTGATTCTCAGGCGTCCGACTGCGGCCACTGCCAAGTCCCCACTTCTCGCCCCACTCCCCTCCCTTCTCCCCGACCCAGGACCATTCGGTCTGGAGTTTAGCACGGGGTGGGGCGTTGTTAGCAGGCAAAGCCACAGCTCTGAGCCTTGCCTGAGCCAATCCAATCTCCATCCCACTGGCCCGCTCCAGCGTAGACCTGGGACCCACGGGAGGGACGCGAGGACCGGGCTGGAGCGGAGGCACCTGGCGGGGCCTGGGCCACCCCTTCAGAAAGCTGCAGACAACTTCTTCCCTTTGGAGGCACCTTCTACCTCTCGCCCTCCCTTTCCTGCCAGACACCCCCTTCAGCGGTCTCCCTCCTTCCCCTCTCCTCTTCCCTCCCCATCTCGGACCTCCTATTCACGAGCCCCCACTCCGCCCCCAATACAGTGTCCTCCCCTTCCTCCTTCTCCTCCCCCCCTCCTCCTCCCCCCCCCTCCTCCCTCTCCTTTTCCTTTCTCTCCTCCCTTGCTCTTTGGCCGTTCGCCCCGTCAATCACCACCGTCGCCGGCCCCTCTCCACTTCCCCGGTCCTCCGCGCGCCTCGCGCTCCGCTCTCGGGCTGCCCTCCGCTTTGCGCGGAGCGGGGCCGATCTGTCAGCAGAGCCGGCCGGGCGGGGGGGAGCCGCCTGCCCGCCGGGGCTCGGGTTACCGGTGACTGACAGCGTCTCCATGGCGAATAATTTGACTCGACTATTGTCTGGCGCGGACAGGCCCCGGGTCAGATAACCAGACCAATCAGGGCGCGGGCCGCCGCGCCTCATGCCCGCTTAGAATAATATTATTAAAAAAGCTGCGAGCGAGCTAGACGGGAGGGAGAGCGAGCGAGGAGCGAGCGAGGGAGCGGCGGGCGGGCGCGG